TATGGTTCCTGCCTCCACTACGTCATTTTCTAGGCTATTCCACTGCCTTACAACTCTATGACTGAAGAAATACTTCCTACTATCCTCTGACTCATTTGTGTCTTCCAACTTCCAATTGTGGCCTCTTGTTTCTGTTCCCCTCCCGGGAAACATCCTGTCCTTGTCCACCTTGTCTATTCCACGCAGTATTTTATATGTCGTTATCATGTCTCCCCTGACCCTCCGCCCCTCCAGTGTCGTCAGGCCGATTTCCCTTAATCTTTCTTCATAGGACATTCCCCTTAGCTCTGGAACTAACCTTTTTGAAAAACCTTTGTATTTTCCCTCTAGTTTCTTGACGTGCTTTATCAAGTGCGGGTTCCAAACGGGTGCTGCATACTCCAGTAGGGGCCCCTGACATACACGGTGTACAGTGTCTTGAATGTTTTCCTTACAAAAGGTGTCGGAATGCTGTTCTCAGGTTTGCCAGGCGCCCTTTTGCTGCAGCATTAAATCTGATTGATGTGTGCTTCCGGAGACATGCTCGGTTAATACTCCACCCCAAGATCTTTCTCCTTGAGTGAGGTTTGCAGTCTTTGGCCCCCTAGCCTATACTCTGCCCTGTGGCTTCTGTGCCCTTCCCCTATCTTCATGACTTTGCATTTGGCAGGATTAAATTCGAAAGCCATTTGCTGGACCAGGTGGTCCAGTCTGTCCAGGTCTCTTTGAAGCCCCTGCCTGGTCCTAAATCAGTTTTTAATTCTCCTCATTAACTTCACTCATCTGCAAACAGGGACACTTCTGAGTCTAACCCTTCCGTCATGTCGTTCACATATACCAAAAATAGCACTGGTCCTAGGACCGACCCCTGTGGGACCCCGCCGCCCACAGGTGCCCACTGTGATACATCTTTAAAGTACCATGACTCGTTGTTGCCTCCCTGCCCAGGTATTCTCTGATCCATTGCAGTGCCCTTCCTGTTATATGCGCCTGATGCTCTAGCTCTGCACTAATCTCTTGTGAGAACTGTGCCCAAAGCCTTCTTGCAGTCCAAGAAGATGCAATCAACCCACCCCTCTCTCTCTTGTCTTACTTCTTTTATTTTATCATAAAACTCCAGAAGGTTTGTGACACAGGTTTTGCCTTCCGTGAATCCGTGCTGGTTGGCATTTATACTCCTGTTCCTTCCAGGTGCTCCACCACTCTCCTCCTGATAATCTTCTCCATAATTTGCATACTATACACGTCAATGACACAGGTCTATAGTTTACGCCTCTTTCGTCTCCTTTTTTGAAAATGGGAACTACATTTGCCGTCTTCCATACCTCAGGTAGTTGCCCAGTTTCCAGGGATGTGTTTTAAGATTGTGTAAGTGGTAACGTCACAACATATCTGCTTTCCCCCTCTAAGGACCCCATGGAGAGATGTTGTCCGGTCCCATTGCCTTTGGTATCGATGTCCCTTTGCAGTTCTTCCACCTCCTCCTCATCTGTATGTATGTCGTCCAACACTTGTTGGTGTATTCCTTTTTGGTGTCCCCCCTCTGGGCTGTCCCCCCAGAGTCCTTCCTGTCCCCTAAATGTAAATACTTTCCTTTAAATCTCGTGTTGGGCTCCTCACATACCTCTTGGTCGTTTCTTGTGAGTTCTCCACCTTCTTTCTTCAGCCTTATCACCTGGGCCTTGACTGTTGTCCCTTTCCCCCTAATGTGGCTATACAGCAGTTTCGGGGCAGATTTGACTTTCGAATGCTAAAGTCGTTTTCATACTGTCGCTGGGCCTCCCTCCTTTTCTGGCGCATACTCGTTTCTGGCTCTTCTACTAATCTCCTTGTTTTCCTGGTCCTATGCCTCCTGTACCTTTTCCATTCTCTGTTGCACTTAGTTTTTGCCTCCCTACACCTTCGGGAAAAACCCAAAGGACTCGTTTTGGTCTTCCTATTATTTCTGTTTCCCTTGGGGAACAAAACTTTCCTCTGCCTCCTTGCACTTTGTTGCCACATATTCCATCATCTCGTTTACTGATTTTCCCACCATTTCTCTGTCCCACTGAACCTCCTGCAGGAAGTTTCTCATACCTGTGTAGTCCCCCCCCTTTTTTAGTTTGGCCTGTCCCCTTCAGTTCCTGTTACCTTCTCCACTTGTAACTCTACTATATAGTCAAAACTCAGAACCACATGATCGCTAAACTCCAAGGGCCTCTCGTAAGTGATGTCCTCGATGTCTGAACTGCTCAGGTGAACACAAGATCCAGTCTTGCTGGCTCATCCTCCCCTCTCCCCTCTGGTTGTGTCCCTGACATGTTGATGCATGAGGTTTTCAAGTACCACATCCATCATCTTGGCTCTCCATGTTTCGGGACCCCCATGTGGCTCCAGGTTTTCCCAGTCGATCTCCCCGTGGTTGAAAAACGCCCATTACCAGTAACTTTGCTCTGCTCGAGTGAGCTCTTCTTGCCACCTCAGCCAGTTGTCCACCACACCCTGTTGTTTTCTTTTGTACTTCCTCTCTTGGCCCCCCTGCAGTTCTGTGTGGGTTATACATCACTCCAATGACTACTTTATGTTCTCCGGACTGAATTGTACCTACAAATGTAGTCTCTTTCTCCAATCATGTCCATGCCTTCCATTTCCTCAAATCCCCATTGGTGTTTTATGAGCATGCAACCCCTCCTCCCCCCTTACTCCTTCTATCTTTCCTCAGGATCTGATATCCTGTTGGGAAGATTGTGTCTGTTATTGTCTCAGCGAGTTTTGTTTCTGTGACTGCTATGATGTCTGGGGATTTTTCACTGATTCTTTCATTCCACTCCTCATGTTTATTCGTTATTTTCCCTCCGCGTTTTTGTACCAAACCTTTTGTTTCTTTTCTATCATTGTGGTCATGCAAGTATATTGGGGTTTGGGGGAGCGAGAGCCTTGGGGGGGCCTATATGGGGCCTGTGGTGTAGGTGGGGTATGTGTTGATGGGGGTGGGGTCAGAATGCCCATAAGGGACAGCTGTTGGGGTTTAGGTTTGTGATAGGGGGTTGGTGGCAGAGGGAACAGTGAGTGGGTTGTAGTAAGGTTGCTCATTGCGTTGGGAATGTCGCGGGTGGGGTCTTTTGGTGGGAGATTCTGGGGGTGTGTTTGCCCTTCCTCCTGTGTCTGGGTCCGCTCATTTTCATTGCTTCTCGTTCCTCCTTGCGTCTCTGTACCCTCTCCCTTTGTGTAGTCCTTTCTTCTTGTGTTTCTGTCGCGGGCGAGGTATACTCTCTGGTACCCCTCTTGTCCCTCAGTCTTGTTTCTCTTGCAGAATCCTGATCGAACTGATTCTTCCTTTAAAGTTACTCTGACAGGCCGTAACCTTCCACTCGCAAACCCCCAATTCTCTGGGAAAAATTTTTTTACCTGGGTCATAAATTGCCCTCCCCTAAATTTTTTCATGATGCCTTCAATCATTTTTTTCTCCTCCTGTTTTTATTTCTTCAAAGTTGGCCCCCTTGGCTTCTTGGAGCCCGTACACAAAAAACTGACCTCGCCCTTTCCTCCTCCCACGAGTCTCCTCTGCTTCCTCTGAGGCATTTTAATTTTCCCTTCCATTGACAGTTCTTTTCCTTCCAGTCCCTGTCATATCTGAAACTTCTATTCTCATGGACTGTCTTTCCTGACCAGCTGTCCCTTGCTACTGCAGTTGGCTGTTTGAATCTCTGCATATACAAAACCCTTTATTGTCTTCGGACCTGTCGCTTGATCTTAGTGTGCTCACGTCTTTTCCCGGCCCCACGTGGGGCTGATAGGGCCTTCGTGTACGGCATGTCTCCGTTGTTGCTTAACCATCCCCTTGTCTGCGCCTGACTTTGAATTTCCATCATTGTCTTCAGACCTGTCGCTTGATCTCAGTGTGCTCATCGTCTTTTCCCTGGCCCCACGTGGGTCTGATAGGGCCTTCTGTACGGCATGTCTCCGTTGTTGCTTACCATCCCCTTGTCTGCGCCCCGTGTCCCGTGTGTGGGGTGTGTGTGTGTGTGTGTGTGTGTGTGTGTGTGTGGTGTGTGTGTGGTGTGTGTGTGGTGTGTGTATGTTTACCTGGAAAGAGTTCCGGGGGTCAACGCCCCCATGGCCCGGTCTGTGACCAGGCCTCATGGTGGATCGGAGCCTGATAAACCAGGCTGTTACTGCTGGCCGCACGCAATCCAATGTATGAAGCACAGCCTGGCTGGTCAGGTACCGGCTTTAGGTGTTTGTCCAGTGCCTGCTTGAAGACAGCCAGGGGTGCATCGGTAATTCCCCCTATGTATGCTGGGAGGCAGTTGAACAGTGTGTGTGTTGTGTGTATGCGTGCTCACGCACGTGTACTCACGTAATTGTTGTTGCAGAGAGGTGAGAGTGAGTGTGTGAATGTCTGAGTGTGTGGTGTGTGTGTGTGTGTGTGTGTGTGTGGCCTAATTCGTGTCTTCATAATAACTCATTACGACGAACCAGATTTAAACATGTAAATTTTGTTTTTCCA